TCAATGGGTAACATTCTTGCTTCCAAGAAAATGGAAAGAATATTCATGCTCCTTTCCATAGAGATCAGCCTGTAGATTGGGTTAACAGATTGTTGAAATCAGGCGTTGGATGTAATATTAAACAGAGGCTCTGTCTGCTCTTTCAGATGAATGTGGCAGATTGTCCTGCATTACTTGAAAGAGATAAGCATTTGGTAATATCCTGGCTAATATTTATTGCTTAACTGACATCACTAAAACCATCCTATCATTATCACATTGGTGCTTATGGGCCGTTGAAGTGCATAATTTGACAGCTGTGTTTTCTACTTTACAACAGTGACTAGATTTCAAAACATATTTGGTTGTAAAATGCTTTGTGACAATATGAGGGTGGTATCCAACCCACAAAATAAATTTCTTTCTTTCTCTGCGGTACGGTTCTGAAGTCGTACTTTAATTCATGGGAGTTATACTCATGCCTTCATAATATTGCAGGCTGTAAGATCAGAGCCAATCATATGCTTGGTGATTGTCTACATATGCATTTCCTCTATACCCAATGTATATTTGAGCAAGAATTAATAGTGAACAGTAAAATAAAATAAAAAAAACTGTAGATGCTGAAGATCTGAAATAAAAACAAAGTGCTGGAGAAACTCAACAGCATCAGTGGAGAGAGACAGTTTTGTGCCCAACAAGAGTGTTAATTGGGATGAAGAATGAACAGAGTTTGGAACAAATGTCATATTGAATTTGAAATATTAACTCTTTCTATCTGCAGATTCTACCAAAACTGCAAATTTCTCCAGCACATTCTGTTGTTCATTGATAGAAAGCACTGTATCTTCTTTATGCTGACCCTTATTTCTCTAACTCAGCCATGAAGGATACTGCAATGTGAGCAGACAACTTACTGACTTGGTTTAGATCTGATAATTTAGCACAGGTTAGTAATGAAATTGGGACATTGTACTCTGTAAGATGCAGTATATTTACTGATATAACCATAAGGGAAAATGAACTACCAGGATTTTGGTCTTTTATTTTACAGACACAAAACATCAACAGCAATAGAAATACAGAAAGTAATCTGTTGTGAAATGACAGTTTTCATGATAAAAATCACAAAGATAAGAACAAAGGACAAAGTTCATCCAAACCTTTACTTCATTAGAAATTAAATAAAGCAACTGAGAGTCTTGTATGCTTGTTTGGATTGATGTGAAAAAAAAAACGCTGAATACTATTCAACGCAAATCAGCCAATTCTCTTGATACTCTGACGACATTCTAACAGAGTAACGAATCATTTCTCAATTTGTTTGTAGAACTTTGCCATGTGCATATTGTCTATTAAGTATGCCTTCATAACGACAGTGATCACTCTTCAAAAATAATTTACATCTCATGAAGGGTTTGGGGATATTCTGAGACAATGACAAGGTGCAGTATTAAAGCAACATTTTTATTTCTTGAATAGAGATTATATTATGTGACGAATGAGCAGAATAAAGATATGTTATTAATATTTTGGTGAGGCAAAAAACACAGTTCATGACAAATATATAATAATAAATCATAATTGTTTGTGTAAACTTTATTTTTTAATGTTTGCCATTAGACATCAATCAAGTTAATTTTCTCCAGTCCAAAGCAGTTGTTTTTATAAAGGTATGTCAATTCAGGTTATCCAGGTCAAAAGAAGACTTCTGATTAGCCCTGTTTTACAGCCAGATATACAAGTTAGGTTGGAAAATTCATCTGGCTGATCCCATAGAGTTGTGATTTAGGTTCAGACATTCCCTCTCCAGCAAGGAAATAATAAATCAAATCCAGAAGAGGCATTTTCATCCCCGATATATCCTGTTCTTCAATGTTCCTAATAATCATATTAACAGTGAGCAATGAGTAAGGCCTGAGTACGCATAGCTCCAGATCTTCAGCAGAAACTATCCTCACCTTTCCTCACCCCCAGAATTATCACTGAACCACCTGGGAGGACAAGAGAACACCATCACCATCAATCTTGGCCAATACGTTGAGCTTGGAAACCTACGAAAGTCCTTCTGAAAATGGGGCAGCTTATACACCAAGTATAAGATGTGAATGAAATCTAAAACGGGTGGTTGCCATTTTGAAACATAAAGGAAAAAATAACACTGATAAATCATAATGATTTAGGTGGCACATTAAATGAATTAAATGCACAAAGATACCCTTAACCACAACAAAGTGCTTTAAAACAATCAAATTCATTGCCTTCAGCATCTGGCACAAAGTGTCCACCGAATTCATTCTGAGTCATGTTGGCTATGGCATCATTGGAAGGATCCCACGCCGGATCAGTTCTGGCAGTTTCACTTTAAGAATCGTTCCTCCAGCACAAAACATCTCCCTTTCCATCCGCTGAATTGGATATTCAGCATTTTTGAATGTTTCAATGAAACTTAGCCCATTAATAGAATCCCACAATTTGATAAAGGAACCAGTTGAAATGCCAGCTACATTAATTTGCTGTCGCTGTGAAATCCCGGCCTTGGGGTTTGGTCCTCTTAAATGTGTACATGCAATGCGTTTTTGGTGATAATGTAACCAATCCAATGAATTGAGGACTTAATCTGATGCATACTTTTCAAAATCAAGCCATGCAGTGGCTGAGTGTGTTCTTAATGATGCATTTGGTCGTGGTTCTGTTTAATAATGTCAAATTCCCTCTATTCAGTTCAAATAACAAAGGTCATGACTTTTAGCTTGAAACCAACTTCGTACTACTCTTATTATTGCTGGATGACTCATTTTTGTTAATC